TGTCCCGGGCTGAGCACGACGGCGGCTGTGTCGGGGTGCAGGAGCGGTGCAGCCCCCGCCTCGCCCCGGAGAGCCGCGACGCCCCGCTGAGTAGTCGCCGGACCGAGCCATGGAGGGTGCTGGGCAGGAGCCGTGCTGCCGGCAGCCCCGAGCAGGAGGCAGAGGTGGAGGTCGCCCGCGGGGAGAAGGTCTGGTCGGTGGTGCTGGTATGGGGGGATCCACTCCTTCACTGCCTGCAACTAGTGAAATTCTCTCTTAAGCCTCAATTCCAGCATTTCATTATCTGCCGCCCAGGCCGTGAGGTGATGATGCATTGCAGCTATCTCTTTGCTGACTGTTTCTGCCAGAATTCTGCCCTAAGTTTTCTATTGAGAGCATGACAAAGGCTATACGGTCTATGCTTCCTGCTGCTCTGACTTTGTCTAGGTCTGCGTTTGAGCTGTGCTATGTACAGTCAAAGTCAGCTGCTGCTGTCTTTGTCACTATTTCCATGATGGCCAACTCTTGAGGAAATCCTGTCCTGTGCCGGAAACTTCACCTTTAGCCTTTCTTAATTCTGCTTTCTGCTCTGTGGAAAAGGATTTAGGTTTTTGTTTCGCATCTTCATGGCTTAACAGCTTAAATGAACTCTAGGCATGGCATGGTTTTTAGCAGTTAGAAAAAGGGATACAAAGGAAAGCCCAACTTGAAAGTCTGGGTGCAAATATAATGGTGGTTTTCTTACTTGATGCCAAATGTCCAAAATACGCTGACTATTGGGCTAAAATGCTCATGTGTTTGTATTGAGAGACAGGTTAATGTGGTTGATGTATAATTAAGGAGTGTCTGTCTGTTTTGTTTTGGTTTTTTTTTTAAGGTCGCACAGATCACTGGGATACTGGCTTTATACGAAGAGGCAGAAACAGAATAAATAATGTGCCAGGCCAGACAGCTCAGTTAGGGGAAAGCCCCCAAGCCAGTAATTATACTCTTCTACCTGGGCAAAGAGAGGAGAGATTTGGTGGCTGGACTTGGAGGGTTCCTCAATCAAGCAAGAACAAACCAAGAAACCAAGGTGGACAGGCCAACAGTGGAGCCACAGGACACTGGAATGAACTGGAGAATGAGGGAAGAAGAATGAGGCATCAAGGTGGACAAGCGCATGAGAGGGCCAGAGGACCCTGGAATGAGCAAGAAGATGAAGGTAGGGGAAGGAGGTATCAAGGTGGACAAGCACATGAGAGGGCCAGAGGATCCTGGAACAATCAAGAAGATGAGGGTAGGGGAAGGAGGTATCAAGGTGGACAAGCACATGAGAGGGCCAGAGGACCCTGGAACGAGCAAGAAGATGAGGGTAGGGGAAGGAGGTATCAAGGTGGACAAGCACACGAGAGGGCCAGAGGACCCTGGAACAATCAAGAAGATGAGGGTAAAGGAAGGAGGTATCAAGGTGGACAAGCACACGAGAGGGCCAGAGGACCCTGGAATGAGCAAGAAAATGAAGGTAGGGGAAGGAGGTATCAAGGTGGACAATCCCAGGAAGGAACTAGAGGGCTGAGGAATGGGCAAGAAAATGAAGGTAGGGGAAGGAGACTGCAACCTCGGGAGAATCCTCATTTGTACCAGAACCCTACCCCAGGTGGTCCCCAGTTCAGTGAGCAGCCTCAGCAAGTCAAAAGGATTGGCTATAAATTCCTAGAAAGTCTCCTCCAGAAAGACCCTTCAGAAGTTGTCATCACACTTGCTTCCAGTTTGGGTTTGAAGGAACTTCTTTCCCAAACGGCTATGAAACCCAATTTCCTTCAGCTCGTTTGCCAGGTGCTTCGAAAAGCATGCAGCTCCCGAATGGATAGGCAGAGTGTCCAACAGCTTCTTGGAGTGGTGAAGGAGTCCAACTTTCTCAAGATCTGTCTGCCACAGTATGTGTCTGACATGATGACAGAAGCAGTCCCTGCTGTACGTCATCAGTACCCTGTGCATATTAGCAACGTCATTTCACTTCTTCAGGACCTGATCAGTATTTTCCCAGCCAGCTCCGTGCAGAAAATCTCCGTTCTCTTGACAGTCTTGCCAGCATCCATAAACGCCCTGAGAGCTTCTGGTGTGGATATCCCAGAAGAAACAGAAAAAAATCTAAATAAAGTCCAGATGCTCGTGCAGCATCTGCAGGAGAAGAGACGTGAAGGCACACTAAGGGCTGATAACTATACTCTTATGCAGCCTCGGACTGATGGTCAAGAAGAAACCTATCGTACAATGACCATTTATCCAACATATAAGGAGGTACATTGTGATGATAAACCCTTTCTACGTCCCAATATTGTTTCTGGAAGATATGAGAGCACCAGCATTTATCTTGATACCCATTTCCGGCTTTTGAGAGAAGACTTTGTAAGGCCTTTAAGGGAAGGTATCTTGGAGCTTTTGCAGAGTTTTGAGGACAAAGGCTTGAGGAAAAAAAAATTTGATGATATCAGGATCTACTTTGACACGCGGATCATTACCCCTCTCTGTTCCCCAACTGGTATTGTTTACAAGGTGCAGTTTGACATAAAACCATTGAAGTTTGTACGATGGCAGAATTCCAAACGGCTGCTATATGGATCCCTGATCTGCATGTCCAAAGATCACTTTGAAACATGCCTTTTTGCCACTGTTTCTCATCGTGATAATGCAGATCTTGCCCACGGGATTGTGCAGCTATGTTTTAATGCACAGAGCCAGGCACTGATGGCAGAGGTTCAGCCCTCAGACTCCTTCCTCATGGTAGAGACAACTGCTTACTTTGAGGCCTATCGGCATGTGTTAGAAGGGTTACAGGAAATCCAGGAAGAAGATATCCCATTCCAGAAGTACATCGTGGAATGTGATACACAGGTGGAGAAGCCAACATACCTGACAATGGATACTGTCTACAACTTTGCGCCCTTGATGGAAGATCCCCTGTCAGATGAAGAGGTGAACCCTGATGGTTTGAGAACGCAAAATGTCCATGTTTTAGACCCCAGGCAGTGGCCTTCAATGGAAGCCTTGAAATTAGATGAGTCTCAGATGCAGGCTTTGAATCTTGCACTCACCAAGGAGCTGGCTATTATCCAAGGACCTCCTGGGACTGGTGAGAAACATTTGCTTTAAGTCTCTGTCGTTTAAGTTCATTGAGTTCATGTCGTTGAGTTCTCTTTGACTCCCCCATTTAGGGAGATTAGCTTCAGAGAAAGCCAGCTGTACAGTCTCCAAAACTTTAGTCCCGTGCCTGATTGATGCTTGAGTAGACCAGTTAGCATGGGTTGTGGAGAAGGTGAAAATATCCTCAGATACCCATATCTGATCTTACGCATTGCTGACCTAGTTGCAAGTAGACGCCAACTGCACTACTGGCTTTGCTTGTGTATTGGGGTGAAAAAAGTTTCAACTGTCTTTGATAACATGGTACCTCTTGCTGTGCAACAGTCCTATTTGTCTTCGTAGCATATTAGAATGTTTTGAGTGTTCAGCCATGAACCTCTGTGTGAATAAAGCATTACAAGATTAACTGTAATTGTTTTAAATGGTACCTGAACTCAACAAGCGCCACTGCTTGAATTCTGCTAGTATGCGGATGTTCGTCTGCAGCCAAGTGTCATGTATGAAACCAGTATCGGAGTGGGCTGGGGGATGCAGTGACAGAGGAAACCCTGGGTCCAGGTCCAGGGTATTAACCAAAAGACAACATTCTTGCAGAGCGTGGCCTTGCTCAACTACAGGCCAGAAGGAGTGTCATGATACTTCATTTGCATTTTGTAAACGAGTTGCCTCTGGGGGCATCCCTCTTGGCACAGACCAGATTTGCAGCCTAGAAGGAAGTCTTGTATCTGTTTTTGATGATTCCTGTGTTTCAAGGCACCCTGTAGAGGGTGGATTACTGTTTTCTAATTCTGAACTTATTTTGCAGGGAAGACTTATGTGGGTTTGAAGATTGTTCAGGCTCTCTTGACTAATAAGCATGCATGGCAAAGCACTGTCCAGAAGTCTCCCATCCTTATAGTCTGCTACACTAACCATGCACTGGATCAGTTCTTAGAAGGTAAGAGTACCTGGCAAGTGTGATGCAGGGTCAAGAAATTACAGCATAGCTCTTACTCTGCTCATCTTGTGGTGTGATGACCTGCTGTTTTGGCTTTTTCTAGTGACTCTAGCCCCATTGATACACAGTAAGGAAACTTCACTCCGACCAATCCAGTGTAGCATTTGCCCTTGTCCTACAGCAGAAAACAGAGCTGGCCTCTTTAGTACTAATATTTCTCTTTCATTCCCAGGAATATACACGTTCCAGAAACACGGGATGGTGCGTGTCGGGGGCAGAAGTAGCAGTGAGGTCCTGAAGCAATTCACCTTGAGGGAGCTGAGGAAGAAGTGTGAATTCCGATACAATTTGCCCACGCATCTCCGCAGAGCCTATGTGAATGTATGCGCAGAGTTCACTGGAGATGGTGGGAGTGGGTTGCCTGGCCATTGGAGGAGCTAACCAAACTTCCTCCACACCTGTTCTTTCACCTTGTCTTACACTGAAATCAGCCTCTTAATTCTTCTGTCCTTGTTCACTTTATCAGTTTCTTGTCCTGCTGTTTCTGAAGTCTGCTTCTCTGAGTATGATGATGCCTCCCTTTTCTTTATTATGAGTAGATAACCAGTGAGATGAAACAGGCTGAGCAGGAGCTCCACGAAGGAGCGAAGCTCTTAGAGTGCACAACGTATGGAGTTCTGCATGAGCGCCACTTGGAAGCGTTCATTGCGCCCCAGCACTGGGACAGTCTGATGAATGGTCTGGTAAGACAGGTCCTTTTCTTCTCAGTCAAGTAGTCCCAACGTACGCTTATTGCCCTCTCTGCTGATGAGTCTGAGGTTCCCCAAGCACACTTCTTTTTAGCATCACTTGGCTACCAGGAAAGTGAGGGAGCCAACAGCAAGCTGTGCAAGCAACTGCAGTCTAGACTGGGCAGGGCAGGCAAGGGCTTTAAATTTTGCTTCTTTAAACTGCAGAGATCCTAAGTGATCTTTATCAGCATAAAAGTACAAGTACCCAAATGAAAGCCTCTTAAACTGAAGGGGAGGAGGGATGCTCTTTCTGAAGATCTGAGGCTGCTCAGACTTTTTAGCTCTGGAGGTCTCTCACGGGGCTTGTCCTAGTTGCCTGCTGCTGCAAGGTGCTGCTTTGGCATCATCCAAAAGCTCTGAAGTGCAATAGGCCTGGCTGATTTCACTTTCCTTGTATTAGGATAATGAGGAGTTTTACTACAGTGCTTCACAACACTCAATGATTCTGGAGTGGCTGGGCCTTGGTGTAACTGTCTTCACCCAGAATGCTGCAGAGAATATCGGGGCTGAGAATCCAGGTAAAAAACCCCAAACCAAACACAACTCTCCCCCCATCCTCTACAGGTGTGTTTGCCTAAGCAGTGCATGTGTGCCAGAAAAGAGACACTGCTTCTTAACAGGCACTGAAAGATGAATGGTACTGTAAGGTAGTGGAAAGA